ACTGTCATACTTGCAAGAGTCTAAGCCAGTCTGGATTGATATTTCTTGTTATGTGCCAGCTCTGCATTATGATCCTCTCTGGATCATAGTTCAGTGACTCAAGAAGAATGAGTGACAAGGTGGCCTGGGTTTGTGGAGGAGAAGAGAGGAGAGCCCAGGGTATTTTGCTTCTTCTTTATGGTTTTACAGTCTCCTCTTCAGGGCCCTTTTCACTTGTGCAAACACAAAACTCAAGGTGAAAAGTAATTGGACAAGCTAACAAATGAGTTCAGGCTTGCTGCATTCCCCACCGGCGAGTCTCTGTGCTTCTCTTGCCACCAAGAGCAGCCTCTGACATGGCCTTTCATGTACCAGCTAACAAAGAATGGAAATCTGCTACAGGTGTGAGAAAAGAGAGGCTTTAAACAGGACAGGCACTAAACCAGGGTGATTTATATGAGCTCAGGTTGGTGCTTTACATTTCATCAGTCTTCCAGGGGCTCCATGATCCCAGCTGCATCTTCTGGGGATATTTGGTGCAAACTGTTGCTCTCCAGGCTGCAGAGTTTTACTTCAGGCAGAAGTGGAAGCCTCGTGGTGTGCACCCTGCTCTGCAAGGTCTTGGGGTGTAAAAGTGAAGCACTTCTGAGCAGGCATTCCTTGCTCTTACCATGGAGATGGAGATGGATGAAGATGGAGATGAGGGAGAGCAGGTCCCTGAGAGCCAGGGGAGGTGCAGAGCCACAGGCACAGCTCTGAGTGAAGCCAGCAGCAGGATGAGTCTCAGCATCCCCACTGTGTCCTGTGCTGTCCCGTGTTGTCCCCCTGCAGTGGATGATAAAGATGGCCATGGCTGGAAGTTCACTGCAAGGGAGGAAGTCACTGGGTCATGGAAGAGGCTGCCATGAGGCTGGCTGGGTGGGTGGGAGGGAATGCCATCCCTTCCTGCACCAAAACACCACCCTAATGTCAGCTTTCTTGTCATTGGAATGCACTGGGGGGCAAGGGGTTTGTTGAATGATACCTCTAATTCCATCATTAGAAGTTGCAGGGCTGTGCTGGTGCTGGGGCTGTGGGGACAGCCCTGACTGCTCTGCTCCCTGAGAAGCCCCAGGGCACTGGGGACATTCTCAGCAGCTGGCAAGGCTCTTGCTCCTCGCTCTGACTTTCCAGGGACTGGCACAGCGTTTGTGAGGCTGCTCCTGCAAGGTCAAGCCAGGCAAATGGCAGCTCTCTGAGAGCTTTGCCAGCTGTATCTCCTGCCCTGTTCTCACCTGATGCTGTAAATTAAGAAGTAAAAATCACCCCCAAAAATCATCCTCTTATCTTGTCCTGCTGCAGACTTGTAGGAGGGAGCAATGACTTCATTTGGATGCCAGGACAGGGAGCCTGTGGTCCTGCACGTTTGACCAGGCAGGTATCAGCAGCTAAAGGGGCCTTGGGATCCAAGCTGCACACACTGTTCCCCTAAATGGTTTCTCTGTGCTAATATACAATATTTTCATTCTTTCCATGCCAGCTGAATAACTGGTAAATGACAGGTCCTGCTTTTCAATTCCACCTTGCTGCCAGGGCCTGTCACACTTTTAATTTGTGCAATAGCTGCAAGCATGGCAGTAATTGTGTTTCACATTTCCCACAACTGCAGTGCTGGCTTTGTGTTCCCTCTTCTTCAGCCCTCTGCCCCAGCTTGAGCTATTTAATGTTTTCTGAAGCTCCCCCACAATGCTGCTGTTAAACTCATCTAATATTTGATGTTTAATCAACTTCCCCCTCAAGAAATTTACTGCAGAGCAGGGCAGGGGGTGCACCCAGACCTGCTGGGTGTGATGCTGATTGCTGCAGACACCTGGGCAGGGTGAGGGGGTCTGTGTGTGTGCTCTGTCACCTGCCCAGGCTGGGAGCTGAAGTGTGCACAGCTCCCAAATGTGACAGATTGCGTGTGCAATTTTGGACAGATTTCAAAAGGCTGCTCTGCTAAAGCCTGTGGATGTTTCTCTAGGTCCAAATTACTTAAGTGGAAGTAATTTTGGGTATGTGATTTTTGCATTTGCTTCAATGCATTTGAAAGGTCTGCTCAGAACTTTTATAAATCCTTCAGCCTTTGAGCAACAAGTCAAGGAAGTCTGATTTCCCAAATTTTGAGGCTTTGTGTTGGGTTTTTTGGTGTCTCATGTAGGTTTTCCTGCTAGGTCTAGCTTTTCCTGCAGGTTGAGTGCTCATCACGGCTTTTACTGTGGATTCTCTGTGGCTGAGAAGGTTTAGCAGATGTTCTGCTCCTGTTTTGTGCTCTAACTGGATGCTCTCAGTGTCTGAGAGGTCTCAGCTCCCCGTGGTCCTGTGTGGGTGAGGCTGGTCAGGTGCTGTCCCCCAGGCTGTGATCCTGCAGGCTGTGGCTCTGCACCAAAGCAGGCTCACAGGGCCTGGACACTTCAGGCTGGGAAGGGGAAAGCCTCTGTGCTTCTGAATTTTGTGCCAGTCCCCTGTGAGCCCAGCCCAGCCCAGGCAGGTGACGCCCTTGAGAGCACAGCTCTCCCACCCAGACTGGCAAACGTGGGGCTGATTTTCCTGTTGTAAAACTGGTTGCTCTGGATGCAGCAGGTGAAGGTCATGCAGACCTCCTGTAAAACACTGCTGAGAGATCACACATGACAAGAATGGGGGAAAGTTTCAGTCTCATGGCTTAATAAGTGCTTGCTGGGGAGCTGGGGTATGGCTGAGGACACAGCACACATGAGACAGGGACACAGAAAGTAAAGACACATTTGTAAAGACAAATGTAGTTGGGATACAAACATTTCTTTTTCTCTACTTCAACCTCTACAGCTGAAGCAGAGGAAAATAAAGCTGTCTACAGCTGTCCCCACAGCTGGGCAGAATGTATCCCACCCTCAGCCCCTTCCAGTTCATTATCTGCAAGCCTATCCTTTCTGATGGGTGAAGCCAATACAACCATTTATGGACTGAGAGGGACATTAATCCCAATTTCCCTTCTCCTAAGCTGGAATGCTGCAGGAGTGGGACTGTCCTGGTTTTGCTCTCAGAGCAGGGGCCTCTCTCCATGGTAGCTGTCCCAGGTCAGAGCAGGAGAGGAGCCTCAGCAGGAATATTGTGGGCTTTAAATGCTTTGCTCCATGTTACAACACCCTGTAGGGTGAAAGCACCCTGCCAGTGGGCAAAGGTAATGGAAACCACATTTTCTTAGCTGAGTAATTAGATTGATTCTGCAGAAATGCAGACATGTGGAAAATTGAAAAATGGAAGAGTTGCATGCCCTGAGGCTGCAGATGAATATGTTGGTGCCTTTCTGAGGAACTCTGGCTCAATCTATTGAATTACTGGATGTGCTGAGACCAGCTCAAGCATGATGCAAGTTCAGGCCCTGACCAGGGGAAACTCAGACAGAAGGGGGTGTCTTTCTCACTGTGCTGATCTGAAATATATATCCCTTTCCCCAGAACTTCTCATTGAATTCTGTAGTGCTCTGTGCAGCAAAAGGATGCACCTGTGTGAATCCAGTTACAGGATTAGCAGAAAAACTCTCCCTGTAATTTTAGACACCCAGAAATTTTAATTGAATGGTGCATTTTGATAGGGACTAGATCGCAGATCACACAGGGATCATTTCAGGGATGTTGTTGAGACTGTGCTCATGTCCATTTAATTTATGAATGTTTTGACCTGAGACATCAAATGGCAAGTATTTCTGTGGGCTCCATTCCCCAAATTAAACCAGCCATATCTACTGTTTTCTATTCCTGCACATTATAACAGCTGAGAGCTTCTTTGGATGCTGTCAGCCATGCTGAGGGGGTGTTGGGGTTTCTGGGTTTCGTTCCTGTGATCAGGAGTGCTGTGGTTTGCAGGATTTGGAGAGAGCTCTGGAGCTATTTCCAGCTGAGATTATCTAAGCAAAGGTAAATATTCTACCATGGCTCTGTGGTGAGGTAGGTCCCACAGCCAAACTTTTCAGAGATGCCCGTGCCTTTAAAATACCAGTTTGCAATATTGTGTGAGTGGTGTGGGAAGTGGCAGGAATGGAAGCAAGCAGGCACACTGGGCTCTGAAACACCATTATTGTAGGATAAGTAGCACCACAAACAGCCAGGTAAATTCAGATGTTAAATCTGCCTCTATTCCCCTTCCTCATTTCCGGTATCACTTTTGAAGCATTTTGATTCAGGACTTTTGAGTAATACAGAATCTTTTTTTTTACATCTCACAGCTTGGACTTCTGGATTGCTCTTTCCTGTTCAGCTTGGCTTTCCTAGTTCTGACTTCTCAGTCTGTTCTAACTTCAGAACTGGCTTTTCTTTGAGCAGGAGGTTGGTCCTGAGGCACCATCAAAGTCCCTCCAATATATATCTTACTGTGATCCTGGTCTCACTTCCTCAGATTTCAATGCTTCGTTTCAGTGTGCACAGTTTTTATCAAGCCATTTCCCTCTTTCATAATTTTGCGCTGCCCTGAACCTCCTCTTTGCATAAATGCAAGTCCAAACTGGTTCTTTTGAGCTCTGGCTAATCCATCATACCCAACATTTCCTACCTACATGGACTGCTATTAAGATTTAATTAACCACTGTTCTGCTGAAGCTTCGGTCCTGGTCAGCAATATTGGAATTGCATTAAATAGAGGCATTAAAAATGCAACAGCATTTGTGATATCTGCCTCACAATATAAGCCACTGCTTTGCGTGTGCAGTTTAACATCATCATAAATCAAGAAGCTCCCGTGCTGGGATCCTGTGTTCACGATTTGTTATTGCTGTTTGCCTTCTCTGGTGACACTTGGAAGTCCTGGGGGCAGGAGCTGTCACTGGTTACACCCCCGTGCCACTGGACATGCTGCCATCTCCGTGTGGAAGATCTCTGCTTTTCCTTTTTCTTCCGGAGCTCACCCTAGGAGCTGTCAGCAGCGCTCAGGCCCACTGATATTGCAGAGCTTTACCTGCTTTGTGGCAAAAACGCCCTCCTATCAGAAGATCCAACCTCAAGGTCCTTTTTTCCCTCTTCCCCCAGGTCCCATCAGCAGCATTTTGGTGAACCGCTATGGCAGCCGCCCCGTGGTCATGTTTGGGGGCCTCCTGTGTGGCGTGGGGATGATCTCAGCTGCCTTCTGCACCAGCATCCTGCAGCTCTACATCTGCGTGGGCTTCATCACAGGTGAGGGCACAGCACCTCCTTCCCCTGCACAGGGAGGCTCCCTTCTGATGGCCTGGGGCCATCACCTGGGCAATGCCTGCACCAGCACAAACACCTGGGAAGCTGGGGAGATAAAAATCTTGTGAGATAAAATCCGGTGGGACAAAGGCCCTCCTTTATTGTGTTTGTGGGGTTTCCAGATGAAAGAAGGAATGATGAATCTGACTCCGTGTTCTTAGAAGGCAAATTTATTATTTTATGATACTATATTAAAGAATGCTATACTAAAACTATACTAAAGAATACAGAAAGGATACTTACAGAAGGCTAAAAAGATAATAATGAAAACTCGTGACTCCTTCCAGAGTCCCAACACAGCTTGACTTTGATTGGTCATTAAGTCAAAACAATTCACATTAAACCAATTAAACAATCACCTGTTGGATAAACAATCTCCAACCACATTCCAAAGCAGAAAAACACAGGAGAAGCAAATGAGAAAATATTGTTTTTCTTTTTCTCTGAGGCTTCTCAGCTTCCCAGGAGAGAAATCCTGGGCAAAGGGATTTTTCCAGAAAATATGACTGCCACATTTCTTATCAGTGCTGGGGATGAACTCCAGCAAAGAGCAGTTCCCTGTGCTGTGTTCCTGGCTGGACATGGTGTGTGGGATCCAGGCAGGCTCTGTGCAGCCCCATGCTCTGGGCCAGGTGCTGGGGACGGTGGCCACCAGTGCCCTCAGCTCCCCTTGAAGCAATCCCAGGCTGACTGTGCTCTACCCTGGGCAAGGCAAGTCCTTCTGGGTACAAGTGTGACTGTAAAGAAAGCACTCTTGTTCCTATTTTCTGTGTGTTTTATTCCCTCTGTGAGATACATGAGGTGAGACTTCAGGGGTTTGCTTTAGTTTGCTTGCCCTTTTCCAGCTTGTGAGGTGAGGAGGTCCTTTATCTGAAAATGAGAACTGCTGGAATTGACCAAAAATATCCCTACTGTGAAAAAAACCCAACCCTGTATTTCCTTCTTGAAGTTCCAATTTGAATTGCCTGTATTGAAATATGAAATACCATATTGGAAACTCAAGTAGAATAAGGCACAGGCTCAGTCCAGCATCTTTAAAGCCTGCAGGTGCCAGGTTATTGCTTTTAAAAGTAGATGGATTAGAGCTCTCCACCTGTGTGTGTATGGATGCTTAATTGTAAGTATTTTTGTTTTATTATTTTGGATAAGGTACAGCCAAAGTTTATTCCAGTGCAGCTAGGACATCTGCTTGGAAGCATGACACAATGAGTTCAAAATTGGCTTTTGAGGTTGCCAGGTGTATGGTTTAATGAATGTTCCCAATCTCTCTGCAGATGCATTAAGTGTTGCTGCTTTCTGAATGTGAAAATGTGAGCTCAACATTTAAAATCAATAAAACCAGCCACTAGCAAAGTAAATTGGGACAAAAATTTTGTCATCCTGTTCTTCTATATCAATATTCTTTTATTAAATCTGTACAGTAGTGAATAAATACCTCTGTAGCACTCCCTCTCTTAAACTTTACCATTCCTAAGGACTGTCACTGTAATTAAATGAAACTGTGTTATTATTGGATGAATAAATCTTGCAGATTCCTTGAAAGAGACTCCAGAAACAAAGTGATGGGAAATAAAATTAACCAATGTCTCCCAATATTTCTTAATGCATGAGCTTGCATCATTTCCTCCTAAACAAATGTCCTCTGGGAAGGCAAAGGGGGGAGTGACTGGACAAGGGGGAATGATTTTCAACTGATAGAGAGCAGATTAGATTAGATGCTAGGAAGGAATTCTTTATTGTGAGGTTGGGAGGCCCTGGCACAGGTTGTAAAGAGAAAAGCTGTGGCTGCCTCATCCCTGGCAGTGTCCAAGGCCAGGTTGGATGGGGCTTGGAGCAGCCTGGGACAGTGGAAGGTGTCCCTGCCATGGCAGGGGAGTTGGAAAGAGATGAGTTTTAAGGTCCCTTCCAACCCAAACCGTTCTGTGATTCTAGGTTGACTGATGCTGGATTAGCATCTGGACACCATAAATCCTTTGCTGAAAGTATTCCACGCACTTTGGTGAGCAGAAGGACTCAGACAAGAAACAGGGCTGTAGGAAGGCACCAGCTTCTCTGTTCTAAAGCACTTGGCTAAAAAGGTGACAGGAGGGAGCTCTGTGCACAACCCCAACAGATCTAGGATTGATAAAGACCTTGCTCTCGGTCCCTGGACGTGTCTGCAGGTCTGCTCCACCACCCACCAGAGATCTGAGTGTGGGCAGTGCTCAGTGCACACAGGTGACCCTCGTGCCAGCCCCGAGGCACAGGGCTAAAACACCCACACCTCTGCGCTGCTGTGCTGATTCCTCTGAGCAGGGCACATCTTTTGTGTGCATCTTTTCCTCCTGCTTGCTGAGCAAGGGCAGCTGTGTGGATGAGGTGCTGGCTGATAACCCATCATCTCCAGGCACGGGGGGTGTGCTGGGGAAGGAATATTAATTTGACACAGACGGAAAGACGCTTGTAAGCCTGCTAACATGCTTGATGCCTCCAATTAAGCTTGAAGTATCTTTGCTGGTCAGGCCTAGCATGGAAGCATTCAAGGGCAATTAGGAAGCCACCTGCCCATCACACAGCTGTGACAGGGCTGCTGCACAAGGAGATAGGCTTTTGTAAATGGGATTTGCAGTAACTGTAAAGCAACCTGTAAACATCACACTCTTTGTAGCCTCCTTCCTACTAGCCTGGAAAGAAAATAGACTGATGTAAAAGCCTGTGCTCATGTAAGTCACAGGGATGGAGGTAAAAACAAGGTCTTGGTACGAGGAGGTCTCTGCTACCCTGTGCCTTTGGCATATTAACAGAAATCTCTTCAGAGGAGCAGAGCAGGAAGTATCTGTTTGCAGTGGAGGGATTAGACACAGCAATCTCAGTTGCTGACTTGATTATGCCTGTTTCCATCTGCATGCAGAGCAGGAACCAGGCTCTGCTGGTGGAGGCAGCTCTGTCCTTGATGGCACTCCGGGCTGCACGAGGCACTTTGCATGCACAGGAAACCCCACAGCCTCTTCCCATTTGTTTCCCTGCAGCACTTAGGAAAAGAAATGGGGTTTGCAAGCTGTCCACCTGGACAGATGCCAGCCTGGATGCATTATGTAGGTGTTTCAGCATGCAGCCTCTTCTATAGTCTGAGGTGGAAGCAGCAAAATTCAAAGCTAATTGCAAGGTGGTAACGACTGGTCAGAGTTTATTTCAATATGCACCAATTAGACTGCCATGAAATAAAATGGGATCTTGGGTGAGGCACGTGGACTAACGAGAGCAGTCTTTGCCATGGCTGTAAACGTTGAGCACTGAAATACCTGGTCAGATTGTCCCTTGCTAATAAAGCAAGAACAAGATCAATAACTACACAGCTGAGTCCTGTAGCACCACTTATTTCCTTCTGATATGAGTGAGATGTATTTAATCCAGGAAAGGGCACTCCCTCTGGCACAGGTTTGCTTCTGTTCTTGCAATACCACTGACAGATCTCTCTGTCATATCCCTGGGGAGAAAATGTGGTTATTGAGTAACAGTTCCAGCTATGGAAAAGCTGCTGTAGTTTCTGAAAACTGCAATAAAATGGATGTAAATATTTCCTATTAAAGTCAGCCAAAAGCTTAAAGTAAATTGAAATTCCAGTTATTCAATTTGAAACTCCAAATTTAATTAATGGGAAGAGCATGAGGTAATATTAAATTAGATTTGTCTGACTGGCAAATTAATGTTCACATAATAAAAAAAATTGAGCTGATTATTGTTTAAGTGGGTAGCTGGCATCCAGTCTGATTTTCCTCCTTTGGAAGATGTGTGGTGTGTCCCTACCAAAAATGACTCTGTGGAAACCATGGCTCAATTTCTGCCCTTGCTGACCAGCCTGGGAAATGGGGAATTAATGCAAACTCTCACCTGCTGTGCTGCATCTTCTCAGGTGGAAAAAGACACATTTCTATATTTCAGAACTGTCCAAGGGTGTTCTTTAACCAGGGCTGTGGTTTTCCTCTGTGGTTCCCAGGTCACCCTGAATTTGGCCCTACAGGCATTACAAGCAGGTTGCACTTCCCAAAGATGTGCCCTGCCTAATATATGGACTATCTAAAAAAGTTCATGCTGAGAATGTTTTGTATCCAGAATTATTTTAATGTGTTGCTATTTGAATTTATTTTTAATGTTGTAAACGTTAAAGTAATTAAAAAAAAGAACTTTAGACTTGGCAAAAATCATAATTTTGTAAATCCATTTAAACTGAAGCTATCCAGCATTGGCTGGATTCTGCTGTATCAGTTGGATTCTACTCTATCGGTGACTAATGATAGTGTTCCATAATTAATTTTGAGGACCTTGACCTTTGTAAATTCTGTTCTGTAAAGCAATATGCCTAATTATGTACTGCACAGTTAAACAAACTAATTATATCGACTAATGAACAAGAAAAAATCTGCATGACCCTATTTTCAGGACTCATGTTCTCTGATATAATCACTTCAAGGATTACATTTCTGCTTTGTTCTAATGTGGTTCATTCTTTCCTGGATGATGGAGTGGAAAATATGTGGCATGACTTTTAAATGCCATTTTGATGGAGTTCTGAAAAATGAACTTTTGTGAAAATACTGCATGCCAAAGAAATGCTTAAAAATATTACTGATGTTTATCTACTGATTATTGGTGTTGGGCATCAGGAAGAATTGTCGGACATCAGGAAGAATTTTTTCACTGAAAAGGTGATTAAGCTTTGGAATGGGTTGCCCAGGGAGGTGGTGGGTTCACCATCCTTGGAAGTGTTCAAGAAAAAGCTGGAGGTGGCACTCAGTGCTCTGGTCTAGTTCATAAGGTGATGACTGGTCAGAGGTTGGACTCCATGGTCTTGGGGGTCTTTTCCAACCTTACTGATTGTGTGATTCTGTGGTTCTATATGGCAGTGCTCTCAAACAGAACCACAGAAAATTGACACCATCACAGCATTTGGTATTTCTGCCTGCAGATTCCACCTGTGCAGGAGAAGCTGGCCAATTGAATTAGCAATGCAGATTTATAATGGCTTTTATATATCTAAATGCAATAAAAATAAATTCTAATTAAAAGAAACACTCTGGGGTCCTGTGTAATTAGCATCCTCAGTAGCTGTTTTGCTGTGTATTTGCAGACCTCTTAATCATTTTCATCAGGCCTGGTCTGCTCACAACACCAAATCAGTTGTGGCTGAGGAGGGTGGTGTTATTTTCTGCGCAGGTCTGGCTGCCCAGGGCAGAGTTGGGTGCCCATGAAAGGAGATGCCAGCCCTGGATTTTGTGTCACTTTGGTGGTTGACACTGTCCAAGCCAAAAGAACCTTCCTCAAACTGGGAGTTGCTATTTTTTAAAAACAGCTCCATCCTCTCCCTCAGCAAGGGCGCTGTGTGTGGACAGAACCCAGCAGCATTCCATGAGGGACTAGTTTTGGTTCATTCTGAAGCAAACTCTTGGTGCTAGTTTTGCCACCCAAGAGATTTTCAGTGCAAAAGGAAGGGGTTCTCTGACTGAAAGAGTGTTTCTGGGGTCTCGTTACTCAAATGTGGCAGCCAGAACTCAGGGACACCCTGAGCAAGATTTTCATCCAGATTGTTGTGTTGAAGAGCCACCAGTGAACCAACTGACTGTGGATTTCCTTAAACAATGAGCTGAGGAGAAATGAGTCTCAAATCTTTCTTTGTTTATCTGAACTGTTTTCCAGGATTTGGCCTTGCTCTCAACCTTCAGCCATCAGTGATTATCATAGGGAAATACTTCTTGAAGAGAAGACCCATTGCCAATGGCCTTGCTATGGCAGGGAGCCCTGTGATGCTTTGCACCCTGGCACCTCTCAACCAATTCCTTTTTGACAATTTTGGCTGGAGGGGCAGCTTTTTAATTCTTGGGGCAATTTTGTTAAACTGCTGTGTGGCAGGAGCTCTCTTCAGGCCCATCGGGGCAGGCACTGCACTGGTCAAAACCCAGGTGACTGAGGAAGGGAAGGATGCTCTGAAAGAAAAGATCACTGAAGATGGCCCCATGGAGAACAAAACAGAAGAGGAAGGAGAAAAGGACTGCTTTGAAAAAGTCAATCAGTACCTTGACTTTTCCCTCTTTAAACACAGAGGGTTCTTGATTTACCTGATCGGAAACGTGCTCATGTTCCTGGGATTCTTTGCCCCCATCGTTTTCCTGGCACCCTATGCAAAGCACACTGGCATAGATGAATATTCAGCTGCTTTCCTGCTTTCCATCCTGGCCATTGTGGACATGGTTGCTCGCCCCACCACCGGTATCGTTGCCAACAGCAAGTGGGTGAGGCCGAGGATCCAGTACTTCTTCAGCTTCGCCATCGCTTTCAACGGCGCCTGCCACCTCCTGTGCCCGCTGGCCTCCAGCTACACGGGGCTCATCGTGTACTCCAGCTTCTTTGGGCTGGCCTTTGGCATGGTGTGTGCCATGCTCTTCGAGACGCTGATGGACCTGGTGGGAGCTGCCCGGTTCACGAGCGCCGTCGGCCTCGTCACCATCGCCGAGTGCTGCACCATACTGCTGGGACCCCCCATTGGAGGTGAGTGTGTTCTCCTCCCCTGCTGCCCCTGGGTTGCCACTTGGATTTAGACTTTTGCAAGCATAGCTTGTGGGAAATTATTCTGCATGTGTTTTCTCTGCCTCACAATCACCATTTTTCCACTAGTAACTGGACAGGAAAGGGTGTCCTTGATGTCTCCTCCAGCATTTCCTCTTTCCTCTTTTCTGTTGAAGTGAGTCTTGGAGAGTCATCTTTTAATCCTGGATCCCTCCAAATACTTGAAATGATCTTGCAGAGTGGGACTTCCTGCAGTACCAACAACCTTGCACTTCAGACAGCTTCTCCTGGACATTCCTCCTTTTGCAAAAGGCTGGAGTCCACCACAATTTAAGTAAAACACAACAGTTCTGTGAAAGCCTCTTGTTGACTCAAACCTTGCTGTTTGTCTCTAAGGCTCTGAGTACACCACTTAGGAATTTCAGTCATGTTAGTGCAGCTGAAAGATTTAAGTCTGTTCTAAAAATAATTTTTAAGAATATTTATTTTGGATGGCATGGTTTGAAATATCAAAAGACAGAGCCCACCAAGGTCCATGTGGACAATACTGAGTCTCCAGGAGGACTTTCAGTCATCTAAAGATAAGTAAGAGCAGTGATCTCCAGTGATTTAACAGCCTTAATATTCCCTCTATAGCATGTGCTCCTTTTGCAGTTTGAACCCTTTTCCTGGATTCAAAATTCAGATCTGGCTAATGCTTCATATGACACATCCTGCAGAGCTGTTTAATTCTTCATATTACTGGGTAGCTCATACAGTGTGACAGAGGCAGCTGTATCCTCTTGCTGTCTTAGAGATTCATTATTTAATTAATGACAAACAAAGGAAAATACAATTTTAAAATGGCTATTTTCTGAATTATATAATTTTCTGTGTGGGAGATTAAGTTAATGACCAGAGTCTGCTAATGAGGCTAAAACAGTTCTGTGTAATAATCGGTAATATTAGTTTTGTAGGGTTTTCCCCACCATTTTAATAAGCAGCAAATTTATTGGTTCTTTGGCATTTTAATAACCTACTGCAGGGTTCTGCTTTAATGAACTAAGTAAATTGTTCTCAGTGTGTTTTATGACTTTATCTTATTCTCAAAGGAAAAGAGGCAAGACTATCCTACTGTTGAATTTTCCAATACTCTACTCATTAAAACTCTCATTGAAACCTATTTAGGAGACCTCTAGGTCATCCTGATGAGCAGAAAAGGAAAAATTGTTACAATTAGCATTTGGTTGATGTTTCACCAGTAGCATGAAAAACACACTGCATTGAAAATGGTGTACCAAGCCAGCTAGGGATGATTCAGGAAAAGCCACTGACCAAAACCAGTTAAAAATTATTATTATTGTGATCAGGAAATCTATTTGGTGAACATAAAAACCCTTGTTAGTGTAATGCAGTGGGATAATTAATCATCAGCTTTTCAACATTAAGGGTCAATCGAGATGTAATTAAAGGTCCCTCTTTTTGAGGAGGAGAACATATTCCAAAACGTCAGAGAGCTAATGGATGATGGGCCAGTTTCAGGGAAGATTGTCTGTATTGTGAAGGCCAGGTTAGGAGTGGGTCTTACTTTAATTAGGATTTGGGATGTTAAGAACGGTCGGTGTTGCCCAGTAAATGGGAATTAATGCTCAGGATCATAATCCCAATGAGATTTGCATTACATTTTGACATAATGGAGAACAGTGACATTTCAATTAAGCCCTCTCCCTTCAATTACTCTGTAACTCCGTAGCAGAGGCATTAACCTTTGAGAGGAACCTGTCACATTTGTCTTGGCATTGAAATTATCTGACACTGACAGCATCATCTTTGCTTTCCCTGGAACTAATGTTTTCCAGTTTCACGCTGTGCCCTTTCCTCTTTGGATCATGAGTGTAACTGCAGCAAGGGCAGCTGTGACCAAAAGCTGAGCCCCCTCTAATGCTGCTGGGTGACCCGTGGTGGAATAAATCACAGGGTCTTTGCCAAGAGCCTGAGATGAGACCCAGTGGCCAGGTGCCTTCTCATGAAAGTCTTCCCAAAAGCTGCTGCTTTTTGGCTGCCAAGCCAAATGGACATCCTTGTAATTGATCCTTGGAGATAGTAGGAAGGCTACCTGCAGGCTCTGTGATCAGAGGAGCATGGAAAAAAATAGGTGTGCTGGAAAGATCCAGACTTTGCAGTGTAGGTTCTGTCCCCTTCTACTGAACTGTGCAAATTATCAGAGCATTACCTGTACCAAAGTCAACTACCCACAGGCTGCATAGTGCAGCACATGTTCAGTGTTTGCAGGCTCAGAGTGTTTGTGGAAGAGATCAGAAGTTCAGAGAATATTTTATCCTAAAGCCACAAGAGTGTTCCTTGATATACAGGATCTGAAAACACAATACCCTTGCCTTCATCTATACCCTTGCTTTTTTTTTTTTAATATATATTTTTCAGGCATACAAGAGTGTTCCTTGATATACAGGATCTGAAAACACAATACCCTTGCCTTCATCTCTAAATTTCCTTTTTTTTTTTTAATATATATTTTTCAGTAATTCTTATTGATACCTTTGGGGACTATAAATATATGTTCATTAAATGTGGAAGTGTGATGGTCCTGGCAGGAACCTTTCTGTTCATCATGAATTATTATAATTATCGTATGCTTGCCAAGGAGGAGAAGGAAAGAAAGGCAAGAGAAGAGGATCCTAAATCTGTAAGGACAGAAAATGAAGACAAAAAAATCTGGAACAAAGACTCCATACAGGATGGGCCTGAGATGGAACCTTTGAGAGAGAAGGGAGAAGGATTAAAGAAGGAATTGAATGGCACAAATGAAGTTTAAACCTGTTCTCATGGGCTGAATGGGAAATGACTTCTGGGTTGCTCAAATGAGCACCAGCTCTGAAATCACACTAGGTTTTAAAATTTTACTCTATTCTCTGCCATGTGCATCCTCTTCTTTGTTGTAGGAGAAAACTAGAACAGAAACAAGTCCCGATTCTCATAAACTGCTGGGACACTGCATTATCCACTGCAAGATTTTCCTTTAGATATTCCCCATTTCCCAGAGAAAAGGGAAATGTGATACTTTGCAGGGGGCCAGGATGAGGCTGGCATCAGACAGGAGTCCTTCCTCAGATGCTTTGTCTGTGCAGGGCAGAAATTTAGTCTTAAGCTTAACCCTTGACCTACATTCCAACAGTGCAAATTTAATCTTTCCCTAGGAGGTTACCAAGTGGTTATTATCCAATTTCTGAGTGCCTTACCATTTCCAGTGAGCTTTTTCTTTGCAACACCCTGGTGAGACAGCAAGTGTTGCCACTATTAATTAATTGTACAAATGAACAACTGAAGCACAGAGGAGCTTTGGGCATCATTGCATCAGTGAATAAAGCTTAGTTGTGCCAGAGCTGAAGTGGAATCCACTGCCCTGAGTTGCCTAAAAGCCCTGCTGAGCCCAGATATCCCCTTGCTAGAAAAAGGGAATACAATGTATAGCAGTGCATTAAACCTGTACAGTGCCTTCTGCTCCCTGTGTGCCTCACACTACTCACACTAATCACAATTAGTGATTTTGAGCGCTGTCTCAGAGCTGGGACCTTGTGCCAGGCTGTTTTTTTAACCTGCTTCAGTTGCATCCATCCTGGAGGGAATCCAAAGCCAGCTGCCTCCCCCTTGTTTGGGTTGGGGTGGGCATCCCCTGCTGCTGGCACTGCAATGCCTGCTGGCCTCATGCCACCCTGCTGCACAAAGTCAGGTTTGCCAGGTCAGTGGTGCAGAGGTGGAGCTCAGACCACATAGCAGGCTCTCATCCTGTGGTGATAATTTTGATCTGGGAAGAATTGTACTCTAAAGTATTTATACCAAGCAGCTGTTGCCCAAGAGCTGTGGATGCTGAGCATGGCACCACGCATTTGAATCATCAGGCTTCTGTGGAATTTCATGGATTTGATTAGATAAAAACAAGGACTTTTCAGACAGATCACCCAAATCCAAAGCTAAGACTTGTCCAAACATTAGTTCTCATGTTTCTTTGCTTCATTGGTACTCATATGTGGTCAGATCATATTTTTTTCATGGTTTTGTCTTCAAAGAACTGTATTTTCTTGTCACTTGTGTACACAATATGAAGAAAGGCTTGTAAAAATACTTTCATAAATACACTGTACTCTTAAAATTAGATCATTCTGGTCTTCTTGTACAAAACCTTTTCTGTGAATTCTTTTGGTTTTTTTTTTTTAAGAATAGTGGTCTTTGACTTCAGTAGGACTTAAATTTTAGCTTTATATTGTAACTTTTATTTTCTCTGAAAAAACAAAATCTACACAAAATAATTAGCCTTCAGTGCTTGTTTTTAATACCCTTTATTTCTGCCAAATATATCTGTGATATTTCATTTTAAAAGGCATTAATAGAAGGTCATGAATATTTTCCAATATGCCTTCTGTCATATACTTAATAAAATTATTTTAAAAAATCAAATTAGTTTGCATTTTCCTGTGTGTGTAATGCAGCTTCTTGATTCAGTAAGGAGTTTGTCCTCTGAGGGTTTCTAGTCCTGGCTCCACGCACATGGTCACACAGCTCTTGGTCACAACCTCATCTTCTTGTTGATTTGGCTTCCTTTGAAATCCTTGGTGGTCTGGGCCAGGCTGACTCACATTTCCAGTTGTGTGGGCCCAGGAGTGTGAAAGCTGTGCAGAATGACCTGGCAAGGACCTGACAAGGTGATTTTCAAACCTTCCCACCAGGTTGTACCAATTAATCCTCAGTGCAATGACCCAGATCCCCAGCTGTCCTTATGGCAGGAGCTGATACTCAGGCTCCTCATCTCTCAGAAACCCCAAGGAAGCTTTTTAGGTCATAAAACTTTGTTAATACAGATAAGATTTTTAATAAAAAAGGTGTTCTGTTCAGCTATCTGTGAAAATCCTCTGGAAAAGATGCCTTTGTTAAACTGCCCCTGAGGGCAAAAAATGTTTCATTGGATAAGTAGGTCTTTAAGGCTTCAGAATTCTTCTAACACAAAGCAGGTATTTCATTTAACCTACTCACTCTCCTGTCAAAGAAACTTACACTGCCTTTAAGCTTATGGCACTATTTCTGTCAGGTACGAAGCCAGACTATTTTAGGGTAATTTTGTGGTTATGGCTGGTGTTCGGTGGTGGGTGGCCTGGCTCTTCCCTGCTAGCTGCTCCTGCTGCCACCCTGCACTCAAACCCCTGATCATGACATCCCACTAATCACTGCAGCAAAGCAATGCCAAATAATTCTGTACTTATAAGCCCTAGAAATGCTTCCTTGACTCAAATCCTATGAATCCTATGAACACCTTGCAGACTCAAGCTGTAATCCTTTCTTGGAAAGCTCTCAAACTTTCCTAAGAACGTTTTCAGTTATTAAAAATAACTAGTGCAATATGAAATAACCATTACAAAAAGCTCTTGTGACGCAGCAGAAGCTGCCTGTGCATCTAATTTAGTGATTTGTGTGGCAAATTGAACACAAAATTCATATTTACTTAGGTTTGGAAAGCACCTGTGTAAGCAAGTCAAGAGGTGTGAGAGCTGTGCCATAAATATGCGTGCTGGGCACATGGGGGATATTCGGGATATCAGATGTGCAGGGATGATTGCAAACACTTTCTTTGGAGTGCAGTTATGATATGAGACTTTTCATATTTCATTAGCTTGTGACCTTATTAGAAGTAATTGCCATTGTTTCCCGGGCTGCTCAGACCTCATCAAGAGCCTGATTTGGATGCTGGACCATCATTCCCAACAGCCACAAAAGAAGCCAGGAGAGAGTGGTGTTTGATGGGGAGGTGTGACAAGTGCCACAGATTGGATTTAGATTTATCCCATGTACTCGTTTTTTGTTTACAGTTCCTCTCACTTCCACCCTCTCTATATTTAGCTTTCCAAATTCAAAGGCATGGAGGTGGAATTCAAATATTTCACTACTTTGGTGAAAAAATTGTACACATTTCTCCCTCCCTTTTTTAAAAGAATGTTAGAGCAGTGACTCTGCCACATGATGGAGTGTCATGCTACTAGATGGGGACATTTTCTGTCATCACACCTTGGGCCAGGTGCTGCTTTGCCCCACATGTAAAAATCATTTAAATGGAATGAATGAACCATGTCTAGAAAGTGCAAAACACACAAGGAAACTTGAGAAGTCTGGAACCACAAAAGACTAGAGGCAATTTGGTAGTAACTTAAAAATTAGTAAGCAAGCAAACAAACAAATGAAGTGCCAACCTCTGTGTTTGAAATATACAATCATTTTAGACAACACAGGAGATTATTCAGAAGGACAGTTCCCATGGCAGCTGACACCAAATTTATTTGGTTGTGTTCAGAAAACACCTCATAGACAATACAGGTACATTCAGATTACATCTGAAATGAATTTAAAAGATGACTTTTGTGCCCTCTGCAGTGACAGTGACATTGTCTATAAAATAGTGTTATTTGGACTTATCAGAACTGTGTGAGGGCGTTTTCATGAGTGACATTCATAACTGTCAGCAAAGATTCCCACCATGGCAGCGTGGCTCAGGAACACAGATTTGATTTGCTGAACTCTCTGACACTCACTAAAGTATTGCTGTGCTTTAGCTTGGATTTGGAGAGGCTCATTTACATCCTGACACCAAAAAAATGAACATCCATGGGTAAATGGGGTGTTCGTGTCACTGTGGTCAAGACCCTGCTATCAGTAGTAACAGCACCACAAAATTCCCTTTTATACACTGTACAACCCTTTGTCCTGCAGAGTCAGCATCTACTTCTGATAAAATATCTGACAGTCTAATGGTGTAAACACCTCAGTTGGTCCTGCCCACCCTCACACCATCACCATGTCTGAATGGTCCAGCCCATAAATTTGTCATTTTTCACATCAGACTAAATCAATGGAAAGAGAGACACAGAGAAACACACGCTTCCCACAGGCTCTCCAGAGGTTTTGGACTTCTGCCTGCTGAGTGCAAAGGTATCCCAACAAAATGTGTCACCTGAAGAAACTCCCACCTCCTGTGGGAACACCGCTGTTTGGAACAGGCACCAAACAAGAATGTGCTTCTGTGCTTCCCTGGTCAAATCCATTGGCTGCCAAGAAGGGGAAGATAATCCACCAAAGATGGCAGCTTCAGGGTGTAATTCTGACACATCAGATTCCTTATGAATACTGGATCCTGTGCAAAGCAGAGTCTTTCAGATGAATGGGCATGATTAAAATGGAATAGGGACAAGCTCTTGCCTCCTGCTGCAGAGCCTGGCATTCCCTTCCTGGACAGATGACATTCTTAAGTAGTTTTAACCAGTATGTAATCAGTCCTGACCATTAGTTATGCCTGTGATCACAAAGCACAACTCCAGAGAGAGATCCTTAGGATATCCAGGAGGTTCCATGCATTATTAAGTGAAAAAACCACAGACTCTACCTATCACCCATTAATACTATGTATAAGAAGTGCTTGTTGAGCAAACTTGCCAACTCTAATTATTCTCCCAGCAGACCGTGGAGGGGGTTTTTTTGGCACTTTTACAAGTCTAATGGAAACCTCCACAGCCCTGCTCCTGCAGAGGCAGCGTGGGCAGGGAAATCTCTGTGATGTGCTTCAGAGTCCTGAGATAGCCCTACCCACCTTGTGTGCACATGCACACACCCACAGCCAGCATTGCTCTGACAGAGCTAAGGGAAAACCCACCTGCTGAAGGCTGGCATGCAGGGGCTGCTTTCCTCTGGGATGTCTGGATTGATGTGTTAAAGGAATGAGTCACTCAAATCTGGTATCAGGAGCGATCCTCAAGCATCTTTGAGGGTGCATCCTTG